GCACTGAGCCCAGGCAAAAGCCTTCTGTGAGGATGTCAGTGCCATTTTGCTCTCAGAGATTGTAGCTTTCAACTTGATGCTGTCTTGTAATGACACTATTCTTGTTCATCCTTGTTTTGATGGTCTTCTGATGTAAAATGTGTCTTCTGAATGAATGGGTTGTTTGTAATTCAAATTACTGAAGCCTATTTTTACTGACTTTTTAATTATGCAGCGTTTAAATCCGAGTTCATTTTCTTTGAGAAGAATCCTCAGAAGACTATTAAATACCAGGAGAAAACTTTTGGTTCAGGTAGTCTCTGAGTCAAAAGTGCTGCAGGAGAGTGTATTGAGAAGGTATCACTGCATGCTTACTCTGATACACTTTTTCCTAAGTTTGCGTAATTGGTTAGTGGTGGAGGTGTGATGGATATGCAGTCTCACCTGATACAGCTCCTTTATATCCCTAAACACAAAAAATGTGTGCATGTCTTCAGTCTTCATGTCTTTTTTGTGTCTCACTTCCTGCGTTTTCTACTATGCAACTGAGCATGACTTTTGAAAAGGTGAACATGTTTTAGGGTAATATCCTAGCAGAAGTCCCAGACTTGTGTCAGTTACCAGGAGCAGTGGCATGTGGTGACCTGTGGTTTGACTGTTGGCACACTCTATTGTGTGTTTCTGCCCATGCCAGCAGCACTCTGCCGTGATGCCTGGATAGGGGTTAGGGCAGCAGTGTGAGCCAGTGACTATTCCAAGCAGGCAGATATGGATGAGAACTCCTCTTTGGGGAGCGAGCAGAAGGACAGAATTTAGCCATATGGACATGGGCTGTGCCATAAAACTTGTGCTCAGGGGCAGGGACTTGGCCCTGAACTGCTATATTTTCTATTCCAAGGCAGGCCTGTTGATTTCTGTGCCACAGTGCCAGGCCCTAAGACAGAATGCATTTACAGCTCTCTGTATACAGGACGTAATTTTAATGCTTGGCTCTTGCTGCAAAAAATGTCACAGTGAACTTCAAGAGGATTGTTTATGTCCCCAGAACCTTAAGCAGGAATAATGACTCTAATTTATTTATGCACATTTTGACAGCTTGTTATGTTTTATTCCGTAAAGCTAAATGTGGTCTCAACACCTTGGAGTTATTGCTACCGAGTAATGATGCCAGGGAGATATAGGGATTTTTGTCTCTGAGCAGAGAAGATCTTTTCCATTCTGTCAAGAATTAGAACCACTGTCCTTGTGTCTGCATATCTGTTAAAGAACGTATGGTGAAACTGAGGGATAAAGTGTCCTAGCTGCATAACTGAGTGGGAACAGGTCAACTCTACATCAACGCTGAATGCTTGAATAACCCAGAAACCAATGACCTTAGCGTGGGATCTGTCACCCTCAGACAAGAGATGGGGAGCTCTGTCCTAGGGTAGAGACCTGTAAATGCTTGCTTGCTCTCTAATATTAGACACAATTTGTTTTAGATCTGCTGAACATTACATCTGTCTCTTTCTCCATGTGGGTCTGGAAGACAGACCCCTTCTGGTCTGAGAGGGTTGTATCATTTCTGGGTGTGATTTATGTACACATAATGTTTCCAGTTTCTAATATAATGCATTGTTTGATAATATATTTACAGCTAATTGGGGAGTTCATAGGAGCGTTGAATAGTTTTATAAACCAATAAAATAGGATATGAATAGGTTGAAGGCAGGAGTTTAAATTAAAACAAAAGAAAACAAAACCAGAGCACTAGTCATTGGATTCTGTGTGATTTTGAGTTTCTTTTTCTGTTATCTACAGCAATATCTATACTGTTAAAACAAACAAACAAACAAAACCAAAAAAACCAAACCTGTGAGGAAGCATTCCCAAGCACTGCATTGTCTACAATCAAAGTGTTGGAAGACTCCCCAGCAGACTTTAGACCTGGACCAACCAGATTTCTCCCAAATAATTTAGAGGCACAATTCAGGGATTAACTCCAGCCCAGGATCCGTTCTGAACAGGTGCCTGACTGTCTAGTTTTGGAGGCTATGAGGGTTAAACAATATGAATAGGTAATATTTGCAACCAGTAACTATAATCCCAAAGAACTGTCCCAGGCTTTTTCAATTGTCTAGTGCAGATACAGCTAATGCAAGCTTAATTCTATAGCATATACATTTGGAAGCAGTGTTGAAATGGGGAAGGGGAGAAAGAATGTGTTTAACCTAATCCAGGATATGTGGGGATGACAGAAATCACATTAACACAGACTCTTAATTCCTTGCTGAATATCTTCTATTGGCTCTTAGCAGTAGTAGCACAAGAAAAACAACATTCATGATGGGACAGTGTGGATCCCTGGAGTCTTGGTAGGGACTGCTGAGAGACAAAGCTCAAAATATGTCATGATGGACTGAAAAAGAAAAGGTACCATGCTAAGGGGAACTCAGAGCATAAGCATTGGCTCATATTCCCCAACCTGAGTTGGGGGAGTCTGACAGGGCAGACTGATAATTGCCTTTGGGCTTCAGTCTGTGTTTTAATGCATTATTTTTTTTTAAACTTTCTCTTAACTGACTACTCCAACAGCACAGTTTCCAAGACCAAGTTTATTTACAGGCCACATGGAGAACACAAATAGTTACTGCTTCAGAAACAACAGGAGAATGTTACTCTGCTGTTGATACAGATGCACTGATCTGAATGATCCTATTACCAGTCCATTACTAACTCCTTAATTAAAGGTTTAACTACGTTCATAATCCAAGAGAGAGCTTGGCCACACTGGGATTCATATGCATATCATTTGCCATCAAATTCTAGTGGGACAAGTTTGGCTTTCTCACTCCTATTCTGAGGGACATCTGCTAATGATCAAAGTCAATGTGAAAATTGACCACCTTTGCAGTCCAAGCAGGGAGATCTTCTTGAACATGGAGAGTGAGCTGAATTCCTACCTTGTTTGAGTTGGCACTTCATATCAGGATTTGAATCTCATATTGTGCATGTCTTGCAGGGATGTCAGGTTTATCAGGATGGCACTCGCATATCGTTCTGTGATCATTGTGACAGTTCCCTGGTCTCTAATGAAATTTCCTGGAAGAATAATGTGGAAATTGTGAGTGCTAGTCAGTGATTTATGGCATTTTAAGTAATCAAATGCAGCTGAAAATATTGATATGCAAGAACTTGGGCCAAATCTTGGCTATAACCTTATGTGTAAACTGTGTAAGAGTATGGCTTGCTCCACTGTCCTTCACAGTGCCAATTGGTTTTATTTCCTGAAATGGTTGCAATTCCTGTTGTTAGCAGAGGCAAAACTTGAAGATTGTTAAAGAAATGAGCCATTGGGAGTCTGGTTTGAGTTCTACCACCAGTGAAGTCTGCTGTTGTCACTCACAGGCATTTTTCTCTGTGGTGGTTTAGCCTTGGCTCCTAGTCCTAGCCTAAAGTATTTTTTTTTTTCCAGAAGTGGCTGGTCCTGACACATAGCGAAGAATGCACAGCCTATGTCTTCTTATGTCCTTGCCCTGGATTCTGTTTCATCTTGCAAAATACTCATAGCTAGTGTCTGTTGTGTCCTCTTTTCAGACATGAGACACTGGCAACAAGAAGTAGCTGATGGAGTTCTGACAGCAGGTGTTTCATTTTATTTGGCTGCTATAGGGGTTTTTGATATACTAGCATGTTTTTTTTTTTTCTTGTCTGTGAATTCATGTGAAAATGAGTTATGGAGCTGAGGCCTGGACTGCATTAGGAATTTGCTGTGCTTTAAATTAATTCTCTGTACAGTCAAATGTGACCCTTGGATGTTTGGAGAGACCAACCACCAAATGCTTTCCTATTTTCATATACTATGGACAGGGATTCTCATCTTCATGCTTGTGCTCCAGAGAGATTGACCCTACAGGACAATGGAGTGGTTAGTTTTCTGGCAGATACATTGTGGCAAACTTGAAAGCTCATCTTCTTTTATAACTTTTCCATTAATTTTGTAGCTAGACAGGTAAAAATAAACTGCTTTCTGGAGACTTTAATCTCTTGCCCATCAGGTTATGTACCTGGGCATACTGAGCTACAGCCCTCAGTAACTTCTAGCATTTTGCAGTGTATGGACATACATAAGAAGGACATTGTGACTTTGTGTGACCTTTGTAAGGAGTTGGCACAAGATTGTCATTTAATTTGGGCTATATTTTGTTAACTTTGGCACGTATGGAATGGCATCTTCCTCTGCAATAATCTCACCTATATAGTAGTGTCAGAATCTGTCCTACCAGCTGGAGTGAGCTATTCTACACTATATCTGATATTATTTCCTTTTTATCTGTTGAGATAGAGTGCTTTGCTGTATATCCTGATATCCCATGGCTTTCCTTTTGGAGCTCTGTTCACACATCTTGATTCCATCTGTACACTTGAAGAGGCCCGTTAGGTGGAAGATGTATCTGTCAAACACATGTAGATCCTGGACAGCAGCCCTTTACGGGTCACGCCTTGAAACATTACTAATTTGATTTCAAAGGGAGCTATTACAAAATGCCTTTTGTGTTGTTAGGCCTCAGGAGAAGCACCCCAGTTGGACACAGTGAAATGCTGCATTTGCTATAGCCATGACGCTTCTCATTGGAACAGATATGAGAATCAGTCCTGTCTTTGTCTGGTAGCACTGTACCTCTTCAGGAGGAGTCCCCTGATGTGAGAGGGGGACGGCTGAGTGTGTGTTAAAAGGTCCAGGGGACAGAAACTTAGTGATCCACAGCATCCATCAGATGCTGTCTAAAGCTGTTGAACTACCTCAGGAAATGAGTGGAAATCTGACTCTTGTTTGACTATCCTGAGTCCTGAGAATGGCACGGTGGGTGCAAGAGGGTTGACGTACACATCTGTGCACTCCGTGGCAGTGCTTTGAAGATCTGAGTTGCAGCCTGTGGATTTTTATGATGCAGTCATGTGCATTTTTAAGACTAAGAATTAGACACCTTTGTGCTTGAAGTTAAGCATGACTGTGACTCATTCATCTGTCACTCTTGCAGACTTGGGGTGAGAACCATATGGATGGGAAGAAATAACCTAGACCCAAGTCTACATATTGCAAAACAGGAGGCCAAGCACTGAAACAGCATCTAACAAAAGTGAGTACTTGGTCAAAGTTTTCTCTTCTATTTGGTCAAATTTCCAACATAAATTAAACCATTGTCTCAAAGTAGTGGCTTTTCCCCCTGGGAAACTGTGGATCTTCCCCCACAACCAATTCGTTATTTGCAGTTAGTTACAGTTGCTCATAGGCTGCACAATCTCTGAGCACATTAGAGCAGTAGTAGTAGCCTGACTGGCATTTGAAAACAGGGAATGCTTGGGACTTCATAATACTCTAACTCAGTGCAGTAGTGTGCCAAAATAAAGGTCATTTCAATTTCGTATTAGGTCACACACTTTTGAAGTGACATGTGTTTAATGATTTTTCTCCAGTAAATGAACGATAACAAGTATTACACTAACAGGCTTTGATAATATGCCCACAAAAAAGGCAAAATCTTTTCAAAAACATTAAAGTGATATTTTACCCGAAAGAAACCCCCCCCAAAACAGAACAAAGATTCAAATTCCTGCCCAAAGCTTCTGTAATAAAGAAAATTAGACTTTTTGACCCTTTCCAGATGATAGTTTGCAGAAGTTTCACTGTAACTTATTTATGTGTCCATCACTACAGAGATTGAGGCTGATCTTCTGATAAGGATGAAAGAGAATGAAGGGTGCAAGTTGAGCTTGTCACAGAGGCTGTATCACAAACCTCATAACAGGACCACTAGAGGAGTGAAAAACTGACCCTTACGTGTATGTAGCCTATAATTGTGCATAGAAAGTACTTTCTGGCTTCTCATGTACTAAAGCCTTCTTGTCTTCCTACTCTGCCCAGTACTCCAACTGGTTGTTCCCGGTTATCTTTCTGTCAGGCTATGGGCCCAAACAGGCACAAACTGGAACACAGGAGGTGCTATCTGAACATCAGGAAACACTTTTTCATGGTAAGTGAGGTCAAACACTGTCGCAGGTTGCCCAGGGTGCCTGTGAAGTCTCCATCCTTGGAGATACTCAAAAGCCATCTAGACATGGTCCTGGGCAACTTGCTTCAGGTAACTCTGCTTGAACAAGGTGTGTTCAGATGACTCCCAGAGTTCCTTTCCAATCTCAACCATTCTATGACTGATTCTATGGCTACTTGATCAGCGCTACTGACTTCTTCTTTCTTATTCAAAGGCCTAAAGGTTGAACAAAATCCATTACCCAGTCTTGGTTTTTGAAATGTTGCTTCTTGTGTCACCAGTGGCTTGTGTGCCGTAATTAAAAAATTAACAGTTCCTTCAGCACAGAATATGAAAGAGAACTGTTTTGATTCTTGATATTGTAGCTTTTGAATGCGCAGGAGAAACTGTCGCATTGAGCTGTTGCATCCACTCTTAGGAGGATGCATGAAGACTGTAGGAGGTAGGCTGAACACTAATAAATGGCTGGTAGTGTGAACACTGGTGATGTACACCTTTCAGCAGTTTGTAACAAAGCTTATACCAGTTGGGGTTTGCAAAAGTTGCTTCTTAATATTCTCTAGTAGTCAGGGAATGAACTGTCTCTTGAACTGGTCGCACACTAAGTCATGTCTTCTTTTTAGTCACTAGTCCCATTGAAATCAAACTGATGGTAAGCAGTGAACGCAGAAATCAATACTGTATGCAAAATAAAGTATGCATCCTCCTGTACCTCCTGTCTGCCCCCACTGAGCAATAGGAATAGAAAGAGATCAGGACTGGTTTCCTGTCAAAATGTGGTATTAGGCTATAATCCTAGAATGAAACAGCTAAAGTAATTCCAATTAATTTCCTTTGGAGACACATTTTTCTGAATGGCACTTTAGGTGCACAAACTACAAGAAGGCTGCAGTGCTGCATACAGATGATAAATCTTTCTATGTTGTTCAACTAATCAATTGCAGTTTTTTGGGTCAATGGTTATATGACATTATTTAACAGAGGACAGCTAAGTCCATATAAATAATTTAAAAAGCAGAAAGAGATGACATACTTGCTGTCTTAAACAATATGATGCAATTTAATAATAAACCATTCAGTACCACTCTCAGTTGTTCTTACAACCTGTCCTACAATGTTTTACTATCAATTATCATACCAAATATAATATGATATTCCTATTTTTCCAGTGCATGGGCATGAGCATTTGCATGAGCTTCCATGATAAAAATATTTGGCTTAAAAATTATTTCAACAAATTTTGAATTGTTTCTAGTCATATCAAATTCAATACCAGAAGATAAACAAATTGTTTTCAGGAATACTTTTGATGCTGTGCTTAATGAATTCATAGTAATAGGAAACTAAAATTGTTATCTTTTGAATGCACGTGCCATGGAACTGAGTAATGTCTTAAGACAAAAAAATAGTGTGTCTTTGCTACTTTTTGACTGATAATATTGGTAGGAATCCTCTTCTGAGCAGAGATAGCAGGAGGACACTGCAGTTGTCTTCCTTTGCCATGATTCCTATATAGCTGCACATGCATTCTGTCAGTGGTTTTAATTGGCCCTGTTACCTCTCAGGGTAAGTTTTCCTTCAGATCCCCTTTTCCATTTCAGGTAGACGCTGCCATCGTGGTGTCTCTGTGCTGGGTACTGCGGCTGCTCAGCCCCCGGCACTGGGACACACGCACTCGGATGAGGGGCTGAGACATGTGGAACTGTGCAAGGGCTGGTGCCAGGGATGTCAGAGCCAGTAACCAGCCTGGCGTTATGGGCTTGAGGGAAACCACCCCCTGGGATTGCAGCTGTGCTGTGGGACTGAAGACAGGTTGTGTTGCAGACGTATAGTAATGCTTAAAGGCTGGCTGTGCTGTCAGAGCATCATGTCTCGTGTTTCACAAGAGAATTGTATGCAGTCTTCGGGCCTTTCATGTCTTGTGTTTTATCCTGAGACTCATCTCCTTTTGAAAAGACATTAAAAGGGCTCTAGTGGGTAGGATTTTTTTCCTAGTAGAAGAGAAATTTTTTAGACTTTGCATGCCAATTGTGTGGAAAGAGGGGCAACACTGTTACATAAATTTGAAGCATGAGAAATGCCAAATTCTGTAAATGATGTGTTTGTTTGAATGAGTGATCACAATCAAACAAAACATCTTAATTGTTTTCTTTTCTTTAGAATAATCTCGCCGTCTTGCAAAAAGTAACAAGAACATCAGGAAAACAGTCTCCAAACTTTATTGTTGTAGTTAAGACTTTAGTGAGAATATGTGCAAACAGTTATTG